GTATGATTAACTAATGCGCGTTGCTTGTACATAACCTTGGCAGGGAGCGATGATCTGTTCGACATTCAGTGATCCAACTGCCGGATGATTTGGCTAGGGCTCAGTGACATTTCACTGGCCCTACAATACTCCCCCACCAGATTCAACGGCCGTTTGAATCGGTACCAAACATGTTGGGAGCAGTCACGCGCCAGAGAGTGCCAAACGAATATTATAAATCCTCCAGGTATTGCTTATCTGTAAAAGAAATGGAAAGGAGGCGGCAGAAACTGGTCGGGAAACACCGAGTCATAATATGTTAGTAGGACGTTGGTTAAACGTAAAGCGATTAACCATAGAAATAATGAAAAGAACAAAGCGTTTAATTGTTCTATCAAGTCGCGCTGAAATATATAGCTTCGACAAGCAATTCAGTTCCTCCGATGACAAACGTTAAGTATGCCGCAAGAGTAATGATGCTATAGCGATAGTAGGATAAGTGTATTATCAATCGATATTCATATTTGTACTGTCATTAGTTTAAAGTTGTAAGTCGGACAGTGTCGTTGACAGCTATTAATTAGTGTCAAATTCTAGTTATACCTATATCTAACAGACTAACCGTAAGTACAGAAGTATAACAGTGAAGAGTGGTCGTGATTTCGTTGTGCGAAGCTATTGACCAACTTGTAGTCACAGTTTGAAAAGTCGATGACTGCTGCTACAGTTAGTAAGGGTTGAAGGCTACAAATCGATAGCACAGGTGGCACGATGAAGTCTCTAAAAGATGATAAACGGTGAATGCTGCGTGTTTGTTCGGTTAGTGAACAGAAAAATATCGAAAAGAACATAAGAAACCAAGAGTGTCACTCTGGACTCATGTCAATGATACCCGTGAAAAACGCTGTCAGTGTTAGAATAGAGGCGACAATATCGTTTTCAGTTTGCAGGAGATTCGCTCGACTGCATAAACTGATGATTCGCGCGAATGATATTGTCGTCAGACCACCAATTGAACTGGACAGGTTGTAAATCGTCGAGTAGTTGAACAGCCGATTGATGTACCGGAATCATCTGTTAAACAACAGCCACGATGAAACAATACTTCATAAAATGAAGTACGACATCGAAGTAGAACAACTACAATAGTTCAGATGTGTTACAATGTCAAGTCTAAATAACATCGTTCTTACGTATACTGACAGTTGCACTGAACGTTCGCTTAGGTATGATTAGCGTAACAGTTGGATGTGTGAATAAAAACATATACGAAAACTATGGTTGGGTTCGTGGAGAATTTTCGAGGACGTTTAGATATTTTCCAAACCCGTATCGCATGTAAATAAACCGAAAATAGAATTAAAATGACTGTCGTGTAATAAGGAAATCGAGCCATGATTTACCGTGTGAATTAATAGCAAATACAAGAGGTATAATAAACATTAATTAAAATGGTAACCACCAATGTAACTAAGGTTTAGAGGGTCCAGGTAACGTGGCCATTTCGTAAAAGGCTGATGCAAAGAGCTTATTACCTAGCATTAAGTGACATATTAAGTACGACAACATGTGTACTTGGGACATGGACTAAGCGTGGTCGTGTACATGCAATATGTTTTACCACAGTATGTCGACTAACGAGTCATAAATGTACATGATTTCGACTAAAACTTGACGGCAGTGACAGAATATATGACTAGTTTACGTGAAAGCAACTACGAAATGTTATCACACATCATAAATATAGTACGAAATAATCTAATGAAATTATGAAACTCGCCTGGGTTACTCTTGCCTCTAAGTAATGAAGATATGAAGTAGGCAGTAGTTTGAATCTGGATTATGTACGAGGTACTGTTGATTAAATTTTTCGATTAACACAGCATTGTAGACTGACGAACAGTCTAAACGAGATCTAAGATCGCAGGAAATTTATAGTTCAAACTCACCGTGAATTTCTAGCATTCGTATCCTCTGTTTGGCCATGGAACTCAGCAATTGGAAATTAGGCAGGCAGTGGTAAAAAAAAAGCAGAACATTCTAGTAGATAGTGGTTAAGCAGAAAGATGAATTTATAGTCGATAGTTAATCTTGTCTTATTTATACCAGTGGATAAGGTACAAAGAGATATGCGTTCGTGTTGCCTTGTGGCTATACTCACGAGTGGTTGATATTTTAACAGACATATTACACAGGAGCATTTACATGCTGCTAATGCTTGTTAAAGAACCACAATAGCCGATTATAATCGTAGTTGATTGGTTAGTTCTGTCGATTGAACGAATTATCTAGGTTTAAATGCTAATCAACATTGACATGAAGCAACGAAAGTTCACAGTAACAGATTAACATAGGCGATGATAAAAATGAAAAAGAATAAGTATAGAATACAATAATAAAGATTATAGTGATAGGTTGCGTTATTCGAAGTCTTGCTCACCAGTGTAAATCACCAACGTAGATGATCTATGTCGAAATGATTGGAGGCCTACTCGAGTTAGACATGAATGGTGTGACAAACTAGCTAATGTCGAAGTCACACCTCGTGGTCAGCACCTTACGTGGACTACCCCCATTGACGTAACAAGGTACCATAGATGCTTTGAAGACTGTACAACACAAAGGACGTTATTACAGAAATATATTAGTTAAGGTAGATACAGGCGAAAGTAAGACCACTGCCGCATGGGCCAGTCCATGGCGTATGATTAACTAATGCGCGTTGCTTGTACATAACCTTGGCAGGGAGCGATGATCTGTTCGACATTCAGTGATCCAACTGCCGGATGATTTGGCTAGGGCTCAGTGACATTTCACTGGCCCTACACTCTGAACCAAAAACTCGTTTTCAGCGTGAAATTCTGCAGATTGACTCTACAAAGCCAGACATAGTCGCATACACAGAAACCTGGCTGACACAGTCAAATGTAGAATAGAACTTGATTTCGATGGTCTTACGTTAGTAAGGGCCGACAGAATACAAAAGCGTGAAGGAGGGTAAGTAGCTCTTTTCATTAGGAATGCTATCCCACTCACCATTATCGACAGTGAATTCCATGGGAGTGGGACGTGTGAATTAGTTTGTTGCCGCTTGAAATGTAAGGGAAAAGAGTTGCTGATTGGTTTGGTCTATCTCAGTCCAAGCTGTGAGGTGAATGAGATCCTATTAAGCAGTCTCAATACTTGGTAAGGCTCAAGTGTTCTCAAACTACATTAGCAAAGTATACCATAGAAGCTCCCTTCCCGTCAGCACATACAAATCCCCGCACACATACACTGGATAGCGTGACCATTAAAGAACTCGATGTCTTTGATCTGCTAAATAAGCTTGACATTGGTCAATCCACGGGATCCGATGAATTGTATCCTAGGCTACTAAAGAAATTATTTGACTTCGTTGCGAACCCTTCAAGTATATGCTTTAATCTATCCGTAACGCAGAGTCGTTTACAAAAAGATTGGAAGAACGCCATAGTAAGTCCTGTATTCAAAACAGGTACGAAACACAAACCTGAGAATTACCTCCCCGTTAGCCTAACTAGTGTGGTTGTTAAAATCTTAGAAAAGATTATTCGGAAGGAGCTGTTTAAGTATCTCGGTAAAAACCGGATCCTCTCGGAGAAGCAGCACGGCTTCAGAATAGGTTATTCTTTTCTCACTAACTTATTAGTGGCTCTTGAAAGCTGGTGCGCTCTTAAGGACCAGAAGTTACCTGTTAAGGTAGCCTACATTTTTTTCAGCAGAGCTTTTGACAAAGTTCCGCACAACCGGTTGTTATATAAGCTAGAAAATGTTGGAATTGGAGGCAATCTACTGATGTGGATAAAAGACTTCTTAGTTGGGCGTCAGCAAAGAGTATTGGTGGACTCAAAGTTGTCTAGCTAGGAAACTATGCTTACCGGAGTGCTTCAGGGTACAGTTTTGGGGCCAGTGCTATTCCTCTTGTATGTAAACGACCTTCCTAGTCTCCTATCATCATCGGTCTTGCTATATGCTGACTATGTCAAGATATGGAGAACGATACGGTGTAAGGATGATAGCTTAGAGCTCCAAAATGACCCGAAAAAATTATCTGAATGGTTTCAAATCTGGCAGTTGGCGATAAATACTTCCAAGTGCGTTGTGATGCAAATCGGTCATCAAGGCACATATACATACACGATGAATAACACAGAGCTACCTGTCGTCCAGACATATAGTGACTTAAGAGTTATCGTTAGACAAGACTTAAAAACTACTGCGCACTGCCGTGCAATAGCCGTCAAAGGTTGTAGAAACTTATGGTCAATACGTAGAGCTTTTAGTCATGTCGACGCTAAAACGTTTTTGAATTTGTATACAGTTTTCGTTCGTCCTAAACTTGAGTGCTGCATACAAGCGGCTAGCCCCTGCTTAAAAAGACAGCGAGCTTCTGGAAAAGGTTCAGATAACGGAAACTAAGATGATCCCCGAAAAAGCGAAGCTTCCGTATGATGCTCGACTGGCTAAGCTAAACCTATTCCCGTTGTCATATCGTAGAACTAAAGGCGAATTGATTACAGTTTTCAAATCGTTTAGTGATAAATTTTCACCTGATATGCCCTCATTTTTCTTATCTTCCAAAACAGAGAATTTACGAGGGCACTCCAAAAAAGTTCGCAAGCCCAGAACAAATTACTTGTCAGCTGTTTATCGACTTTCCCATCGAATCATCAACGAGTGGAATTCATTACCTCAACACGTGGTTGAGGCTCCACCCGTCGACTCTTTCAAAAGAAAGTTGGATCGACTTCAGACCACCATTGCCAGGACTCACACAGGCCATCAAACCGCCCGTTCTTTCCAAACTGAAACTGAAATGCTGAATTGAAATGTTGGACAAATGATATAAGGATACGGATTACTAAATAAAGTACAATAAAATACCACAAAATCAGGAAAATTTTTAAAAAAATGTTGCGTTCACCAAATTAAAGACTTTGACGTTTTGTTTTGTTTGAATCCTTCACTATGGGTTGTACTTTCAGGACGTATTGTTAACTAATATGGCGCTTCCTATAACAATCTAGCAGTTATAAATCAAGAAGAATATGCTAATTGAGTAAAGTGGGAAGTTTGAGGCTGTAATTAAAGATATGGAAACCGTGTCAAACAACTCGGTAAGTCAAAGAAAACGTATCTTACATCTATTATATGTTACTTTATTGTTTTTCAAAAAGATTAAACAGGTTACAATGTACAAAAGTTTTTTGTATTCGTAAATTCTTATATCTTTCATTTATCAGACTAAATATTACTCAATTTAGTCACGAAAGACTGTAAATTCCGCAGGATTTATAGTTGGGTGTCATTTGCCAAATGTTCAAAACCTCTCTAGTGAATCTATATAAGTTGGAAAAGAGGAATTAAATCTTTGAGAAAACTGTCTTGATAACAACTTGTGGTTTATAGGAAACGCTCTAATTGTATCCGTCTGACTATCATTTGTAGTCAGTTGAAAATGTTTTACTCACTCTTACATGATGTAAACATTGGCACTCCAATACTGAAACGAAAATAAGGTTGTGAATAAAGTCTCATTTATTGGTGACGAGCGAACAAAGACAGTTCAGCCGCTTACCGTTGTGTGGTTGTGGATTTTTGTAACTACCACGTATTGCAGCAAACTTGACAGATGGAGTTCTATTTCTCGCATCAAATGAAGAGTTGCTCGAATTATCAGCCAGAGTGCTTAATATCAACATATTCGGTTGACTCATCTACAGAGGGGTCAGATATTTACAGTGCTGTAGGTTGAAAGAAATAATATTGGTCGACTGACCTCTGATTCTTACCAGTGAAGACGGAAGACCACTGAAGACCACAAACCTCGACGTGTTGCTTTGAAGAGCATAGTGTCGAATTTTTTCTTTGTGTCTAAATACTCTTGTGTTGGTTCAAAGCAGATCTAAACCTTTTTAATCTATCAGCTAATGTGCTCCTCATGTAGTTTTTCGACTTAAATTATTTTCGTGCTAAGTTTTGTATGAATGTGCATGTTGTTTTAGTCGGCTAAATGAAGTTAAATACCTGTTTAATTATCTACAAGCAATTAGGAGTTTTAACTGGATATAAGCAAAGTTGGAATGTATCAAGGAAACGTCCTATAAATTACCGTCAGCGAGACACTACGTTTACAACGAATTTCGATAACATTGAGATCATTATCCAGTTTCTATGCTATTTAACTCTCATCGTTACTTCAGACTATGTCTATTGGTTATAGTATTTAGAGGACTCGTTTACATCTCGTTCGTTCAAACTATCGCAAAATTCTCGTCAACCTCGAAGAGATGGTGTCTGACAAGATCTCTCCTCTGGTTCAGGAATTTCGCCTAACCTTTGATAGCTAGTGTCACTTGCGTGGAAGGCGAGACAATCATCTGTCAACTAAAGAACGATTTCATCTCTCAACAGCCCCCTTGTTCTTTATAGACGTAAAAAATTGGCTTTTATAAATAAAGAACATTCAAAATTCGCTAGGGTTTGGTCACGAGTGTCATTGAACGAGTAGTTTTGAGGTTATATATGGAGCCCTAACCAACAATGGAAGATCGGTTGATGAGATGGTTAGTGTTTGCCGACTTAGGTGGTTAAGATATGTACCAAGTTTGCTTACAAACTGTCTACCTAGACATACGACGTTTATTTTTATAGAGACAGGTTTAAAAAATCCAGGGAAAACAAATCAAAACATGGAGTCAGTCCATAAAGTCGTCGACCGTTGATCTGAGCCATGTTGGTAGATACTGACTACTTGGTTAGGATGTGATTGACTACTATAGCCAATGGTCAGAGACTTTAGGTTAAATGGTTTAAAATCACTCAAGGGGAAGCAGATGAGTGTAACCTCTATCTTTCGTTCAATTTTGAGTTTCAGAATTTCTTTATGCATACTTTTCTACTCTCCGTTTTCGAATCATATTCTCGACTTTTAGTTTAACCCACCATTATTGTTATTTTATTATCCGGCGTCTTATATTACTCATCTTGCTAACTTCTTTCTGATGTGGCTTAAACGACTACACAAGCGAACCAGGCTGCATTTTGATGATACTTTCTTGAGCTGTATTCCTCATACAGAGAATTTTTAAATCACAGTACCTTCATGTGTTGTCAAGTTGTTCTAGGTCCCACATAGCGTTTCCTGTTGAAGTTGATTTCTTGGACGTTTTATGAATTTTCTTCAAACCGAATTACGTAACAGACAGTTTCAACCACACATACAGTTTAGATAAACAATTCAAGCTAGCTAAAATACTTCACACGTAATGCAAGTAAACACTCATCCGGTTGTTTTACGTTTAAATATAGGTACACATTGCCAAATATACTATACTTTGCTCCTTAATTGTAGGCGATTATCAATAAAAGAGTTCATTTACTATGTAATTCGGTATATTTTTAGAAGTCGTGTCTTGATTTACTGGTGATATTAAGTAATTAGAATCATGTGAGTTTTCAAAAGATGAGTATAGATAACTCGTATTACAACCATCTTATGATACTTTGAAGACAAAATAGTGCATTCAGATTCTGCTGGATTGAATTGTCTGAAGAAATAAAATATTGCCAGATATAGGTTTTGGTACAAATTTGATCAGCGTCTGTGTATAAGTCATAAGTTCTCGAGTTTTCCATTATGCTGGCCCATTTATCGTCTTTTGATGAGGCCAGGCAACATATGTATATGTCCATATTACTTTGGTAAGATGTTGGGGAAAACCGTTTGTCTTTCGTAGATTAATTATTTCTCATTTCTTTGTGTAACAGCGTCCTTTGAATAATAGGTCTTGTATTAGGATATTATTCATTAAGTAAAAGTCTAAGCATAATTATTTACCTGATGGGAAAAGCCACTTATTGGAATGCCTGAAGAATTTCCTAGGAAATAAAAGGAATACTTTACTACAGGGAGATGTTTTTACCACTATCTACCATAAATCATGGTGAATAATACTAAAACCAAGTTATGTACCTCCTCCCATGATTCCTTAAAGTAGTATCGAGTACGAACGATTGGCAGTTGTTATTATATGAAGGCTGGATAGAAGATATAAGTATGAGAGCCCTGGGCAGTTGAAAATTAACCACAACGGACTCGCGCATTTGAAATACATTTTGTTACTGATCATTACAGGGAAATCCAATTCAAAGTATCAATGATTCTGCATTCTTAGAGATGTTGCAAACTATTTGGGAAGACTGCTTATGAGCAAAGATGAAATCTTTGTTTGTATGTCATAACTGGAAAAGTAAAGACAGTCGTTATAATCTTGAAACAATTTAAATTTTCTCTAGAATTTCGGTTTCAAGACCGGAGCATTTGTATCGTAATATGTAACTCACACCTTGATTTGATGGAGTTACATTTCACGTGAAGTTTACTGTAAATTAGAGTAAAATATAATTATGCCATATAATTTCGGAAATGAAATGCTGACCCCGAGTCAGTAGAACTTGATACAAATGTTTAATTAGTTGACAAGATTCGGACATTTATTGAAGATTGCGTGACACTTGCCTAGTCAACGTCTGCTCAGACGTCCTATCAGAATTGATGTGAAAGTAGACTGTAGTAAGTGAAGACAACTCAGTTCACTCGACCACTGATTTGTTGGTGCCTATTAGGCAGATTTAATCCTTGGTTAAAAACTTTCTGCGTGTTAAAACCTGATCAACAACTTCAGTATGGACCGATCCTTTTGTATTGAGTATTGCATTATTCCAAATCTAACATCCTACAACCTCATTCGTCTGGTTTTGCATAGCTAGTTATTGTTGCATTATCCTTTTATCTCACATTGCTTATATTCCACTTGTCGTCAGTTTGATCATTTATTTGCATAACTCCTGAAGTTCACTGTGACATTCACAAATAATTTGAACGATAAGTTGTCACTAGTGCATGACATGGAATATTTGCCAATATAGTTAATTTTTAGTGATTCACCGTAAATCATCTTATTTTGTAATATTTTATCATTGGGGAAAATTCAGGGTTATTCTGGTTCACAACAACCTCGTTCATCATCTTCTTATCTGTTATCATCAACGACATCATCAACCTCAACGTTCATTACACCCAACACACATGATTCTTCACCTTCGATAACTGATCAAATCAATGCAACTGGTTCTACCTCCACTTCTGTTACTACAACCACTACTACTACTATGTCGAACACATCTACGTCTGGGAAATCAACTTATACACTCGGAAAAGAAATCGAAATTGAATTAGGTAGATCAAATATTTTAGTGCTATACATTGTGTTAATAGATTGTGATATAATCGATATGAAGCAAAATTATTAATATTCCGTAACTGACACATTCATATTATTAGTAAATGACTGTTCCAACTATTCCTAGTGATTTAGTTCCATGTTCTTAATTGTCGACGGATTCATACAGTGCATTTGGACTGAGACTACAAAGTAATGATCGTATGGTTTAAATATGTATATGGTTTACTGAAAAGGTCAAATGATAATATTGAACAGACGACTTCCTAATATTTAGTTGCAAATTTATATTTGAAATGATTTGTCGAGTTGATTTATTGATACACGAATAAAGGAACATCTAATATTATCTTTAAAGTTTTGAACTCTAGAGGTAAATCTACAGTATGTTTGATGTAATTTTCGCAGCATAGTTTTTAGGTGTATATATTTTCCAGTAATTTGTTTGATTAGCATATGGCATCCATCACTGGTTAACCTAGGTTGAAGGTACACTTGACATTTACGCAGCGCCTGGCAACTTTACAATTAGTACCGAGTTCTCTAGCAATCGACACTGATGATACTTCAAAGGAGCAAACCCAGGACTTTTTAAATATTTTCGTGCCTATATTTCATTATGTCAACATCTCATTAGATTTTCCTTCTGTTTTTGGTGACTTTATTTCACTCCATTCAAAGCCTGTAAATTACTAACATTTAGTTTTGTCACTAGGCCATTCATTAAACTATAAGCTTTAGTTTGGTGTATGGTACGCTATCACACCCTTTCCTGTTCCAAAGCCATTGTGATTTAAGCGTAACCTTTTGTAACCTATTTTTCTACACTAGTTTGTACATAACTGTATTCTTCTGACTGTTTATGCGTTGTGGTCAAGTTAGTCATCTATTTATGCATAAATTCTCTTAAATTACTGTGAATCGGCAATCAGGAATAAATTGAGTAGTGTTCAAGTTGATTCGTTTTCCCACTCGCTCTCTCGCATGTCAACCAATCAGCTGATAGTCATCAATTTACACTTCTGGGGAATCCCATGCTAAGACGAAACAGAAGTCCAGTGCTTTTAATTTCTTCAACGGTGATCTTACATTGATCGGTTTTCAATCTCCATAATTATGCTTAATTATATTACATTTTTTAGTGTTCACTATTCTATATGAATAGTTGTCAATCATTGTTATCTTCATTTGTCTGTTTTAAGTCTTGCAACCCTATTTTACATTTAATTTTGTTAAAATTTAATTATTTCAACACTGTTGATAATAATAGTAATAATTGGTTTTATTATTACTATTGCATTCATCCATTTATCTATCATATGATCGATAAGCTAATTCAGTTAGCCAATTTATTCGTTAAGGCTATTATTATTATTATTTTTAATGATACAGATATTTCACTATTTTATCAGTTAATAATTATTACAATGATTCTGTATAACTGGACAATTGACGCACATACAAATACTTATATATACATAAAAAATAGTGATCGAAATAGGGGGACTAACTACTTAACCATGTACATGACATTTATTTCATGTGATCATAAAAAATAAATTATGATGGACTTGATAAACACAATATGACAAAATATGTGCATTTGTGTTCATATTGTAAAATAGAAATCTATACAATAGTTTATCTAAAAGTATATCTACATTATATATTATTGATAAGAATACTTGTGTATATAGGTGTACAAATGTAAGAGACATTCACTATTAAATTATCAGAGCAAAATGATAATTTATTTCCAATAAGAAGAATAAATTACTTAACTATTCTTCTCTTCTTATAAATTTATACATTTATCACTAGAGAGAAATTATGTTCAAAATGAATCTTTTTCTAATTTTGTGGTTTTTAATGGTAACAATAATATTTGAAATCCTAAAAACAGAATAAAGAAAAAATTCTTATCTATGAACATGATTTTTATTATTTTCTTTTCACGTCATATTTTTGTCTTATATCAAAATCATTAAAAATAGGAACTAGAAGTAGAAAAGTCAATGTGTATTGATTTATGTCAGTATAAGGGTTGTGTAGATTATTAAGTTTTTGATTGAGATCATGAACCGATTGATGTTGAAGAACCGTTGGAAACCTGGATGCATTGGATGGCTGTTTCGTTCTATTGTGGAACTCCTCAGCAGTATGCATCCATGATCCCGGTCGCTGGATTCGAACCCATTACCTATCAGTCTCGCGTACGAACACTTAACCTACTGCACCACTGAGCTGGGATTCAATGATGTTAGTGTCTAACATCAATTAATCCATGAAATTTCGCGTCCATCTTCCATTGTACTGAGGTAGATACCTGTCTCTACCCGACACAAAACGGCCGTCCAGTGCTTTCAGGTTTCCAAAGGTTGTTTAAAATCAATTGGTTCATCATCTCATTCATAAGATATTGATTTGTGTTTTTAATCATTTATTTGCATTATCTTCTTTGATATTATAGTATTAAATTTAGAAAAGTATTTAGTTTTAATGTGCGTAAGCTCACAATAATTTGACAAAGTGACTCGATCATTTATCTGCTTAATATTTCGGTTACATTTATATAACTCAAATTAGTTAGCTGAGCTGTATAATCTCAACATCGTTTTATTCCATAATATTCTTGTTAGAATAGAAACAACAACATAATTTCATTTCATTTTCGCATGTTACTTCTCATGGAGCAGTATAGGTCAACCATCAGGTTTCTCCATGTAACTTTGTTCTGGGCGATTCTTTCCAGTTGTTTCCAACTGCTAGTTATCCTTTTTATATCTACTTCCGATTCCCGAAACATTGTGTTCTTTGGTCTTACTCTTTTCCTTTTCTCTTCAGGATTCCAAGTTAGCGCTTGCCTCTTGATGCAGTTTGACTACTTCCGTAATATATGTCTTATTCACTTCCAACGTCTTTTTAAATTTCCCCTCGCTGAACTTCGTGTTTTTAATTTTTAATGTTTAAATGGGATTGTCCGTCAACCTTTAATTTACCATTTATATGAAAGCTTAACAACAATTATGCAAATCAAATACTAATTCTAAACATGATAATTACAAATAGAGTTATTTAAGTTCATGATGTGTTAAAACATATTAATCATGTTATATTTTGTTATTAAGTAATATATTTAAGATTTAATGTTTTCGAAAAAATTGACCTAACTGTTTTCATAATCCGAGAGAGGGTTTGTGGATATTATAGTGATTTAATAGTTGAGATCATGAACCATCATTGAAAACTTAGTAGCACTGGATGACTGTATGGGACTCCTCAGCAGTGCGCGTCAACAATCACTCCTCGCGGTTGAACTCCACTGGCCACTGCTTCTCACTAGAACTCCAGGGGAAACCTCTAGAATCCAGTCACTAGTGAGCATATGTTGATTAGTATCAGAAGGGGTTTTGTGGAGATTGTAGTAATTTCAGTAGTTGAGATCATCAGTCAATAATTAATCATTATATATATGAGTATTATTTTTAATAAAAGAATTATTAAAACAGTATACATTTTACAACATGCTTTAAAAGATATTTAAGCGTTAAGCTTTTGAAATGTATTATATGAATGTTTCTTATATGTTGAGAAATTTTTAACAAAATTTCTTTGAAAATTTCATCGTGTAAACTATAGTTTCTTAAAAAAAAAGCGGAAAAAAGAATGATCCAATCAACAGTACATTCACTAATATGCATAAACAGATGAAAATGTTTACAACTAAAAGTGTGTAGTAGTATTAGAAAAAATACTCTAATGTGTTTCTAGGTCAAGGCTATTGGTAGTACTTCATTGTGCACCTTTCATATTTGACATTTATTCAATCTATCAACAATATATATATATATATATATATATATATATATATATATATATAACAAGGATTACCTTTCATATTGTAAAATGTTTTTCTTCTTATAGTACATAAGATGAAAAGTAAAAGAGAATACAATTAATGGTTTATTCAATGTTTCAGTTTACCTAGGGTTTCTTTTTCTTTTACTGTAAATGATTATTTCATTTCTTTTCTTTTTTTCATACAATAATAAATATTTTTTTTCATACTAATTCACTTCATTTGGATCATTAATTTGTTAAGCAAACATTTCTTTTGATGATTAAAAAAACAAATGTCTAAAGAGAAAGCCAATAGGGAAAATAATGATTTCACAGTTGAGTTCATAAATCAATCTAAGCTCGATCACGATTGGAAATCTGGAATTACTGAACAGCCGTTTCGTCTTTGTATAGGACTACTCAGCAGTGCGGATCTACAGTTTATCATGGGGGACTCGAACACAAAACTGTAATGTTGCATTCGTTTGAGTATTATTTTCAGTTCGATATTTATATAAAGTTAACAGGGAATAATGTACAAGTGAACATGGGAATTTCATCATGGGAAATTCAGTTTATTCTAATAAGATGATGTGCAAAAAGTAATATAATGATCGCATTATTAATAAAAAGATCTTTAGTCTTGTATGCGTTTATTTTGGAGGATACTTGATAAAATAAGTATATCTATATACATGAAAATTATCATTTTTTCTTTTCTTAAGGATACATACTATTGCAGGTTACTGAACCCTTATTGTTTTTCACATTTGTTTCTATTTTTTAAGGAAAAACAAAACGATATATTTTGTTTTGGTCACCAGATTTTCCAAACTATTTTACCAATGCATATTATTCAACATAATAATAATATTAGTACAGGGGTTGTGGAGATCATTAAGTTTTTGATTGACATCATGAACCGATTGATGTTAGACCACCGTTGGAAACCTGGATGCATTGGATGGCCGTTTCGTTCTATTGTGGAACTCCTCAGCAGTATGCATCCATGATCCCGGTCGCTGGATTCGAACCCATTACCTATCGGTCTCGCGTACGAACACTTAACCTACTGCACCACTGAGCTGGGATTCAATGATGTTAGTGTCTAACAATTGGTTCATGATCTCAATCAAACATATAATAATAATAACTGTCATAAATTTCGATCTACTTTTTTTATTTTTTTTAAAATTTCATTTATATTTTCATAGGAAGTGGTGTATCCGAAGAAGATACAAAATTAGCTAAGAATGACAAAAATGCTGTTGATTTTGTATTTGATTATTGTAAATTATGGTGTAAAACATGTAAGGATTTAGTGTTAACTTTAGAAAAACGTGCAACTGCTGGTAAGTAATAATGAATGATTTCATCACTACTTTACAATGTTTAATGATTAACTGTTTTTATTAATGTTGCACTTTACATTTTTTGTAAACTTTATTTATCCCTGCTTTTATTACTATATGGTTTACAGTCTTTATGGTATGAATTCAAATTATAAGAATTTTAGTCCTACAAATATTTATTTATGGTTTAAATAACTTAGTGTTAGCATATTTGATTGTAATAGTGGGTGATGTATGGTTCCAAGTTATAGGAAAATCAATATTTCCTCGTAACCACACTCATATTCTGTTTAAAAATGCTAACTATCACGGGGAGTTCATTGAATTTCTTTGGTTGCAGACGAAATCAACAAATAATGAATGATATGCCTTGTCATTTCTTTTAATAGAACCTACGAAATTGTATTAGTAGTATCGGCTTAAAAAATATGATATTAGTTAGTAATCAACTATCAATCATCATTATACACTTTCTGCTGGTTGTGTTCTGAAGATACCATATATATATATTTGAACAATAAATAGTTAAAATACTATTTATAACGCTATCGTTCTCTTGCAAAACAAATATCTCACAATACAAGTTGTAATTTTAGAATATTTCTAAAACTAAGGACCAAAGGTAATAATTGTATACAGAGGAATCTAACATCTAATTAGAAAATGAGAGTTTATGTTTAGAATTATTCTGTTAATCTGTTTTAAACTTTATTTGTATGACTAGGTGCTCTAGATTTGAATATAGTGAAGTACTATTGGAATAATTTTAAGATACTGGCGATATTATAATTTATGGATGAACAAATCAGATTTACGGTAATAGGTCTTGAATTTTGGCACGAAATTAAATCATTCATTTGTCTACATAGAGTTTTAGTATCATAGCTGACGTCAGTTCGCGATGATAAACCTAACTATCAACTGTAAATATTAATCCTAATTCCTCACACTATTTTATAATTTTCATTTAAGTGTAATATATAGGTGGACATTCTCAAGGTCATTTTAGCGTCACATCCATAAATTATAGTCTCAACCAAAAATGTTTATTGATGAGCTTCTCAATGTCAAGAAAATAAAGTTATTCTTTTCAACAGACTAGATAGAATTAACTTGCAGTTTGTTGATTAGTGACAATTAAACACAATCTACTAGTTGAATGAAGGGTAATATTGCTTTTATTCAACTGACTTTTGATATTTAAGAAAGTATACATTATATAAATGATCATAATTAAACATGATCAGACTAATATGTAGATAAAATTAGTGCTTTTTTATAATCTACATAAACTTCAGGAGGTTTACTTATTTCTTTTGACGCTTATGTAAGAGATGTATATTACAAAATTGACAAGCCATTCGCTATATCATACTTAAATGAAATTCATCAGTTTTCTTATGTTTTCTGAATGTTTACTAAACGTTTAATTGACTCTTTTTAAAAAAATAAAATAAAGCTCTAATATCTTATAAGATAGTTCATTAATGATCGTGCTCTGCGATGATATATCTCTTTGAATTAAACTTTCCTATACATAGTAACTTAGGACGAAATACATTTGAGTTAAGTCTTGTTGGCATGATAACTGACCTTACGAAAGCAACTAAAGTATTCAGCTTGTTATATATTAATAGTATTTAACATCAATTTTGAAATTAAAGAATGGCTTGTAAGTAAAAAAAATTAAAAAGATATTTTATATTATCATTTGATTAGTTTAAACAATTGAACGAGTTGTCTTCATGTTTACTCACAATTAAAGTATAAAGTTAGTTAGAATTGATTAAACATTATGTAATCACCTATACTTTACTAATTAATATTAGTAGTTGAATTCGTCAATCAATCTAAACTACACCACCATTGAAAATATAAAATCACTGGAAGACCATTTCGTCCTAGTATGGAACTTCTCAAAAGTCCTTATCCATGATATTATTCAGAAAGCTTACATTATTAACTACATTTTAATCGATTAATCATCTTAATATATAGAATAAACATTTAATAAATATTTATAATATTCAAAATTGTCATATTCAGTAAACAGCAAAAGAAAAACTATAATTTTATTTATTTCAAAACTTGTCAAGTTAGTTATTCAATAATAAATCAAATGGGATACTGTAAATGTCATTTAAAAGTTTCTTGTTTCTATCGATTCATCTTTGTGTAAATTACGAATTACTAGTTAACATTTTATGCATCTTTTTTTGTTGTTGCAAACAATGAATTTCATTGAAAATGAAAATAACAATCATCATCATCATCATCATCATAATACAGAGAATGAAAGTACACGTATTATTATGAAACAATTTCAAATATTGGAATCAAGTACAACTAATCAGGTTAGTTATTAATAATGTTAAATTTTACATTGAAAAATTAAAATAATCTTAATTGTTTATTCTTCTTGACATTTATACTTGTTTACAAATCATATTAGTGTATAACGGTAAGACTATAATTTATGAACGAACCAATCAGATTTACAATAATAAGTCTTGAATTTTGGAGCGAAATCAATTCATTCATTTGATTAAATATTGTTTTGACATTACAATTGATGTCAGTTCATGATTAAAAATAAACTTATATCTGATTTCTAACCTTAATCATCAATTGTAAATTATAATTCTAATTCCTTACATTATTTTATAATCTTCATTTAAGCGTAGTATATAGGTGGACATTCTCAAGTTCATTTTAACGTCATTTAAAGGTCGTCCATAAATGATAGTATCATCGTTAATTCTTTGAAGAGAAAAGAATATTGTGATTAATTTCATTTGAAAGATCAGAATAATATATATGATTTATGATAGGATATTTCTAAATATTAATGCTTAAAAATATTTTGAGTTATATAAAATTGATATTACAATTGAATGAATAGATTGAAGTAAATATGAATCATTGAAAATCATTTCATTGGTCTAATAATAGATTTCTTGTTGTTGTTGTAAACTGGAATATATATGTTTTTATCTTTAATAGAGTTATAATTATATACTGTTGAAAATTTATTTGAGATATATTGTATATTTGAGAGTAATCACTTTGTAAATACACCTTAATGAATTTAAGTTCTGAATGATCTACATTAAATGAACTTACTTAGAATACTGAGAAATCAATACTTGTAAATAGATAAATTAAAAACGAGACAAGATTAAATGCTTTACTTATAATCTTTACAACAGTTCAACAATTGAAGAATGTCAGAAAAAAAGCTTCGAAGACAATATTAATTATTTTCACTTGATCTGTTGAGTGTATAAGCAATCATTCAAAGTTTATTCTCTTCACGTCGCAAAATAAATTAAACTAGCTATCGCGGTATATATATATATATGTCAATAGTTGAAATCATAAGTCAGTTAAAGGTAGACCACTACGGAAAGCCTGGAAGCACTGGACTAAAGGTGAAGCGCTCGCGTGCTAGACCGATAGGTCCTGGGTTAGAATCTCGAGAGGGGTGGGGTCGTGGATGCGCATTGCTTAGGAGTCCTATACTAGAACGAAACGGTCGTCCAGTGCCTCGAGGTTTTCCCATGTTTGTCTAGATTCAATTGACGCATGAATTCAACTATTGAAATTTCTAAAAATCTCCACAAAACCCCTTCTGATATATATATGTTTGCATACTATTAAAAAAAACGTTGTCAGCTCAACTAGGTCATAATTTACCTTTTGATGTATTGGACTAAACAGAATAAGTAATCAGTCATGTATAGCATATATATTAATGTTCATTATTTAAATGATGATAGAAATTACTTGAACAGTTCACATATCAGTTAATCATATAAAAGAAACTTATCAATAAATCATAATATATTTATAGATGAAAATAATTGACATTATTGATTATTGTTTCATTGGAATACATAGAAACACAGATATATCGTGAGTTTTATCAATGTTTTCAATGATGGTGAATGATTGACAAAATTTTAATGAAATGTTTTTTACTGATAAAGAAATTATGGAGTGATATATAATTAGATTAACATTTTAATTTGTTAAGGTGTCTACAAAATGTATTTGTCAATAAAAATGGATAACCAAATATCTTTTGCATAACATCAAAAGGGGTTTTGTGAATTTCAATAGTTGAGATCATGAGTCAATTGAATCTAGACCACCATGAAAAACCTAGAAGCACTGGACGGCCGTTTCGTGAATGCGCACTGCTGAGGAGTCCCGCAATAGGACGAAACAGCATTCCAGTGCTTACAGGTCTTCCACGTTAGTCTAGCTTCAATCGACTCATAATATCAACTACTGAAATATTTTACATAATTTCAAAAGGTAATTATTGTTTTCTTTTATACTTTATTGTTCATTTAACACTTTATGATATGGAAAAGAGATATGTTTTCATAATTTAATGTCACAAAAATCTGTGTTTGATGTCGATCATAACATATTTAAAATATTTGAGCAACCATTATTCCAGGTAGGAGTGAACTCATCATCTTCAAGTCTCATAGATAGCTTAATATTATTAGGTTCTGAGTTGAAAATTCAATCGTATACGTTGTCAAATTCAAATAATAATGATAAAAATATAAATAAATTCACCTTTTAAATACTGAAATATTTCATTGTAACAGTAAGTAAAATCCCGTCCTGTCATGTCAAAGTGAAGTTTGATTATTCCGCATAACAATTAATAATAAATAGGGTTTTTTAAAATTTTCTAACTGAATTTGAGTATAACAAAAGGAGTTAGATTGATTGCTAAGAGAATCTGCATAAATTTATCATTCGAAATCATATTATTAACTTCAATTTAACACTGAATTCCATGCTGATCGTGCCGTTAGTTATATAAATGATTTCTTATTTTAAATATTTTATTATGAGATGTAATGTATTCGTTAATGACTAACTGATTGATGAACAGGTAAATGAACTAAACAGTAGAGAATATTGGAGTGCGCATCCTCTCTCTCTCTCTCTCTGCTCCTCTTCCATCCACAAAACCGTATGCGGGCTTCAAACCCGGTACTTTCGGTCTCGCGCACGAACGCTTAAACCCTGATCATTGAACCGGTATTCAACGGTGTTAATGTCTAACTTCAACCAATCCACGATGTCACATGACCATCTTTCATTGTCTTCGGTTGGTAACTGCCTCACACGTAACACAGTTGAACTTCACTGGTCGGACGACATCGTGGACTGACTGAAGTTAGACATTGATATCGTTGGATGTGGGTCCAGTGGTCTAGTGGTCAAGTGTTCTCGCGTGAGACCAACGATGTTGGGTTCGAACCGCGCGTGCGGGATCGTGGGTGTGCACTGTTGAGGAATCATATACTAGGGGGTAATGGCCGCCTAATGCCTCTAGGTTTTCAATAGTGGTCTAAAATTGATCGCTTCATGATTTCAATGACATTTAATAATCTCCACAACTCCAAACTGAAAATATTGAAGAGTAATTGGATGAAATCGTTGATGGTTTAGTGAGTTCTTACTTATGATAGCCAGTAGAGTTAACTTATCCGAACACTGATAACTTGAAAGATTGTAGTCACTAGTTAGTCAACTGAACAATGATAAAAATCAATGAAACTGATGCATACAAGTTTGAATTTATGAATTTAGATTAACTGATCAAATGATACATTGATTACTGAAAACTCATAACTTCTCACTTCTCTCAGGTTTAATGATTTATGTGCGCAGAAATGACGTTGAAGTTGTTAACCTAAACAAAAACAACTATGTATGATGAGTTTGTTGAAAGTATTTCTTATTAACCAAAGTAGTAGCTTTTAAAAAATTATAAGTTTTTTATAAGTTTTTCATATCAATAATTTAATTAATGTGATTTTACTTCAGAATGGTGCACCATATAAAAAACAAACACTCAATTTATGTCGAATGGTAAGTTTTGGAAATGTTTTATTACTATTTGTATTAAATATTTTTCTGTAATGATAATGTTGAACTCTCCAGGGTAAGTGGTTTTATTGAATAGCCTTTTGTAATATTCTGGAAAGTACATTAGTACCCACTTCATGAAGATATCTGTTAGTTGATAAGAATATAGCGTGGTTGTAATAAAATATAATATTAGTCTGAAGGTTAATTTTTATCACATAGTACATGTTTTCATCGTGAAAATTAGGTGAATTCTCTTGAGTTCATGATTTTGAATTTCACTTCCCATCAGAGATGGCCTTATATATATATATATATAATTAGATCGATTTAAGTTAAACCACTATGGAAAACCTAAAAGCAATAGGCGGCTGTTTTGTTCAAGTATGGGGCTACTCATTAGTGCGCATTCACGATTCCACAGGCGAGATTCCAACGCAACATCTTTTGTCTCCCACACAAACGCTTAACCTTTACATCATAGGACCGGCAACCAACGGTGCTAAAGTCTAACTTCAACTAATCCACAATTCATGAATTCAACTATAAAATTACTACCATTTCCACAAACTCTCATCCTGATATAGATAGATCGTTAAGCGTTTCATATAGACATAATGTATGTACGATATTTTTAGTTTAAAATAGTTATTTAATATAAATAAAATCAACGCATTGATAATGAAAAAAGGAAAAAAAACTATTTAATATTTAATTTAGCTTCCAAACCGTTCCTTATCGTTTCAAAAGTTTTTAAAAAATTTTAGAAATTTATAAAATTTTAAAGTAATTTCAATAGTTAAAATCATGAATCAATTGAAGCTAAACTATCATGGAAAACCCAGAAGCATTGGACGACCGTTTCGTCCTTGTATGGGACTTCTCAGCAGTGCTCATCCACGACCTCGCCCCGCGGGATTCGAACCCAGGACCTATCAATCTCTAGCGTGAGTGCCTAACCGCTAGACTACTGAGCCGGCCAGCATCCAACGGTGTTACTGTCTAACTTCGACCAGTCCATCTGAGGAGTCTCATCTTAGGACAAAACGGCCGTCCAGTGCTTCCAGGTTTTCCATAGTGGTCTAGCTTCAACTGATTCATGATTTCAACTATTGAAATTTCTAAAACCTTCATAAAACCTCTTCTGAAAATCCTAAAGGTAGACCATAGAGTGGTTTCACCATTGTCTGTGTTGGGGTGATCCATAAAACTTCTCGCAAAATACAAGAAATACTCAGAAAACACTAAGAAACATTTCATCTAACCAACGTTCATTTGAAGTTTTAGCCGGAAAAATCAAGAAAATGAAAAATCACATGTAGATTTCCTGATTGGCTGATTACTATACTGCTACTATGTTTAGTAGCATTCCAGAATCTTCGGTAATCTCAACGACATCTATAAAACTGTAAAAACCCAATATTTTCTTTACTAAAACGAACCTTTGGAGTAAAGTGCTTCTCGCATATTTTGCGCCTTTTCTGTCGTGTTCAGATCGCTGTGTAGTTCTAGCTTGGGGGTTACGAGAATAACTTAGGAACCGAATATAGCGTTCAATTAGCAAGACTTATTAGTCTGGAGATTATCAACTAATGGGATTGGATAACTCATGTTTTAGTTTTATAAAAAACAGAATTGTAATTAAACTTAAAGTTGAAATTTGATTCTTTTAAATTTTTCATTTAATATAAAATTATTGAATAAGATGGCTGTGACACAATACCTTATAATAAATTAAAGAATGTAAATTTTCTAAAGAGTTAATTATAATACCTTTTGAATTCGATGAAATACCGATTATAATTATTGAAGTGAAATGTGAAGTATCCGCTATAGAGATTAAAATTCGTTTGATGGAATCAATGTACTATAGGGTAACAAAGTAACTAGTTAAACATTTTCTTTCTATTATGAATGTATTTTGGTTTTATTATAAAATATATAATAAATGTATAAATATTTTGGTAAATATATTTTAGATGATTGAACATTGTAAAGAAATTGAAGCGAATAATTCCAAACGATGCAGAGAACTTTTAGAGGTAAGTATGATGCATATTTTTTAAATCATGAAATCAGTATTGTACAAAGGATATCTTACAAGATTTAATTTGTATCTAAAGTTACATTTATTCATCATAGTATTATTGTTTTTACTGATTTGGAAACGTTGCTTTGGTGGGCTACATATACCTATAAATCTGAGACAAACAGTCCATGGTCACATAGACTGATTTTTTTATTATTCTGATTAGTCTCCTATTGTGCTATAATAATACTGTCTAGCATTGTACACCTTCATAAATGGTAGGTAGGCATATACACTATGTATAGAAACCTAGAAATCGGATAAAGTTTCATAAAATCTCATACACATAGTTCCCTTTATTATTTTAAAGAGAGCAAGAACAAAGATTGATGCAGAATAATATGAATTCATTTTATTTTGTTAGGTTCTCATCAGCTGCTTACAACCTAAAATATTTGAAATTCAATATTATTACAGATATTGACATATTTATATATAAGAGTGTGATTAAGGATCAATACATGTGTATGATGATGTAGCGAAGATTCAGATAGAGTTAATGAGCTCATAAAATGTTTGATTCGAATAAATAAATGTTTGAGAGGGAAAGTTCCAGAACATTGAAATAGTGATTAGAACTCATGAAAATTGATTAATGGTAATAAAAAAAATATGAATTGAAATCAATCAGTTATGTATGATGTAATTTATATTTCAGAAAGAGTTGCAATAATGACGTAATAAATAAATAAATAGGAGCAGATTAATAGAAAGAGTGGGGGTTATTGTTACTAGGGTAAAGAAAGATTTATTACTGTCTCTTTTTGTATACATAGGTCTGGTTTTAAACGTTTGATTGCTAACGCTTCAGCGAATTTCAAAAGGTTCGAGTTTGATTGTTTGTTAATCACCTTGAAGGACTTCAGTATATCAGCTTTATGTCCTGTATCAAGGAGATGTCTCGCGATAGCACTGTTGAATGCGTTCAATCCATTTAACCTTAAACTTTTCGGAATATGTTCTTTGAATCGGACGTAGGCTCTCCTTTCTGTTCTACCAATGTAACTGCTTTGGCAGGTACATGTAAATTTGTATACACAGTTGGTGGTAACATGAAAGGGATACCTATCGACCTTTGATTGTGTCAAAGAGCATGTTGTTTTGGACAGGACAATCAATTTCGCTGCAGGATAAGTTCTTGTCAGTGCAGTTTTTAGTCTCATATTGATTGATCCTGTGACATCGTCACCTTTGAATTGAAGTTTAATTAAAATAGGCTTTTTATTTGATGTAATTTCTTTCGGCTTTTTAACTTCACATTTGCCGTATTTCTCAATAAATTTCAGTGGGTATCCGTTATTCTTTAAACATTTTTTAACATTCATAACTTCCTCTTCTAGTGTATCGGAAGTACATATTCTTTCTGTTCTGTAAAACAGTGTTTTGACCAGTGCCTTTTTGTAACTGATTGGACAAAAGCTATTGAAATTAAGATAACTACCATTTCATGTGTCTTTCTTATAAACTGAACGTTGAACTGTACCATCTTTTCTTCTTTTCATCACGATATCGAAAAAATGGAACTTGTTTTCTTTTTCATGTTCCATAGTGAAATAGATATTCGGATGTGCTTCGTTGAAAAACTCTAGCAGATTTATTGCATGTTGTTTATTATTACATACGATGAATGTATCATCAACATATCTCGAATAATACGTCATTTCATCAATCGCTCGTTTGAGTTTGGTTCTTTCGAGGTTAGCCATGAAAATATCTGCTAGGACAGGACCTAACGGACTTCCCATCGCTACACCATCGATTTGTTTGTATATGATATCGTTGAACTGGAACTGAACATCTTTTGTACAAATCATAAAATCACCAACCAACCTGACTGGTTTTGTTCACTTTTTTTAAATGTAGTGAGAGTATGTACATAAATGAAGTGAACAAATCACTCTCTTATATTATTTTTGATTGACAGTAAGGTAATGAAGAACTAATCTTTTAGCAAGACTTTAGAATTTCAACTGATAAGAGATAATACTAAAAGTGCTTTTATTATTATTCAGTTTCTTTGCTAGTCTCTAAACTTTATCAACAGCTACATTGAACAGAATTATGTTACCTATTTGCCTGAAATGCATAATATTGTCTTGAAATAGGAAAATGTTCCGGCTAAAGCCAAACAATACTAAATTAATCTCCGGATCGTAATAAAAACTAATAAGTTAACAGGTTTTGAAAAGGAGCTTTCAATTCTCTCCTAAACAAAAAAAGAGAATTTTAGTTAAAGGTCATAGCTAGCGAATTTCTATGGAGTTAGTTGATAAAATGCTCAATGGCAAATATTCAAATCTGTTTATTGTTGTGTGATGTAGTTCAACAACTGTCTAATTTCAATGATAATCAGGTGTTTTCATTGATGAACTCATCTAATTAATATACTATGTTTTGTGATTTATTTAACCATCTACAATGTGTTATTTTTGAATACAAAGTAGTGAGGTCAATGAATTTTCTACATTTAATTCACATAGACAGTTACCTCTTTCATCAAAAATAATCTTTCGATATCCCTTAATGAACTTTCATCGTATCTTGTTTTCAATTCTAGGAAGTAATTGTGCCGTTACATTTAATAGAATAGCATTTAGATTAAATTAGATGGAGTCAACAGTACGTGTGCTTAGTTATCAAAAGTAAAAGACTTAAACTAATTGCACATTTCGACCGAAAATTTTATTTTTCTTCAGACCTTTCACTCGATTGGTTATTTCCTTGATGATTTTATCTTACGTGACATGAATAGGGAATAAATATTTTAATAACAATGGCAATAAATTAACTTTTCTTGATAACATTAGCACATCATTTCTAACTCGTTTATATGCTCCTGTTACTTTTTGATAAAGCTTAAATCTTGCTTTTAGTTAATTTTTCTACATTTAATGATCTTTACATACTAATAAATTGAATGTACCATAAGCGTTCAACAGTTAATATATCAAGACTTTTTTTGTTGCTTATTTAATCAAGTTAGGTTTATTAAGAAGTGCCCCTTTTAAATCGTTACCATTAGTTAAGTATAGCTCAGATATATTAACAATATTAACCGAAATGGGTTTTTTTCTCCATAGAATCGAGTTTGAATATTTATCAATTCAGCAACTGTTTTCTGTTACTTTATGGCAATTAAAATCCTACGTATTAGATTAAATAAAAAACCTTTTGACTAAAGTTAAATGAAAATTTACGGAATAGAACGTAATCATATATTCATGTTATTCAATTGATCATGATTTAACTGTTATCCAAAAGTGTAATTTTAAACAATGACGTACAATTTTGTGGCTTGATATCTGACTTCAGTTAAATCGTATGATGATTGTTGTCGAGATATACATACCGCCAACCCTCGTATATTTTTATCGACTAATTTACGTTAGGAAATGATGGGACGAAATAAGCCAGATCCGAAAATGAGTTTTGGATACGTATATTTCATACACACATTGATCCGAACAGACAATCAAAGAAACGAAGTGATGCGCAGCGGTGAAGGCAAGTGAACCAACTTTATTTGATCGAGCGTGACTCAATATCTAAATTCAAACCAAAAATAAGTTACAAACACGTAATGAATGGGGCAAGCAATTAACACACATTCGATCATATAAAAACAGGATTGATAAACAAATAATCAACATAGTCAGCATGTGGCTTGAGAAGAATGAATAAATTGGTCTATCCAGAAACTAGAATAACCTATGTCGGCCTAACATAGTACCATCCACTAAAACATCCAGCCCTCCTGTAAAAAATGCGAATAATAACACAAACTAATTATTTATCCCTACACTATGAAGCTACTAACGTATTACTAAACACAAAGTTTCTTTAAAAGTTTTTCACCTAAACAGTTTACAGCAAACTAGAAATACACTTTATTCCTTATCGTGAATTACAATCAGTTTATATACAATAGGTTAATCAAGTACAAATGTAAATGTAAATTATTTTTTTTTTAAAATTTGAAACTAAAAAAAATAGTAAAATAGTAAATGATAGTAGAATCGATTCAAAACTGGCTTTTGGCCGTTTATTTTTGTTTTATTTTAACTAACAATATACCAGATAACAAATATTCTGTGGTTAATTAATAAAGATCAAATTTTTAGAATGTCTTTTTCCTAATGAATCATGTTTCCATTTCTGTTTTACTACAAAATTAATCCTTTAAGTTTTATACTTTGTTTTTCATTACATTTCAAATTATTGATTGAGATCATTGACCGATTGATGTTAGACCATCAATGAAAACCTGGAAGCACTGGACGGTTGATTCGTGCTATCATGAGACTCCTCAGTAGTGCGCATCCATGATCCTGCTCGCGGGATTCGAACCCAGAGAATTCAGTCTTGAGCGCTAGCGTTTAACCACTACACTGCTGATTCGGAATTCAACAGTGTTAATGTCTAATCTCAAATAATCCACGAAAATGCGCGACCATCTTCCATTGTACCTGTTTCTACCCGACATGGATTAGCTCCACTGTTCACATTTCAAGTTGTATAGTTATTAATTATTAATTTAATGATAAGTGCACTAATTAGTAATATAAGTGTATTTGCATTTTTATATGTTTTGTTTTAATGAATTAAACAAAGTTTCTTGCGATAGATTAGAAGTTGAATAAGGGTGATGATTATTATTTCATAACAATTCGATCTTCATAATTGAAATCTTACATTAGTTAAAACATTATATACTGATTTACTTTGTTATAATTTCCTAGGTTTTATTAGTCCAAGTTGATGGAAATGACATCCACATATAGTTGATAATAATACTATTTGTTCAAATAACTTATGTACATTCTTATATGATCTATGGATAAATATGAACAGCTATTTAAAGGATTGTATATATATATATATAATAATTGATAAAGTGGGATGGATTTAGCCGAAATTCGATACAATGTAATAAATATTATCCAGAAATAATTA